GAAAACTTACTGTATAAATCGATACCTATATGAATTAATACGATTCGATTTGCCTACGTACGCTCCTACATCTGCGTCTGCGAAGGAACTTTTCTTTCATCTGTCATATCGGAATGAAATCTGATGGGAACACAAAATCCACATCCCATCGCATCCCATCGCACACCGCCATACTCTACCAAACCCATCCATCCACCCACAAGCCACCCGCCCCCCGTTGCACAACACCCCTCTCTCTCCCCTCCCTCCCTCAAACCAAAGTCGGAAAAAAAACAGAGAGAAAAGAATAAGGGTCCATAACCCCCCTCTCCCTCAATTGCGCAATCCAATTGGTCCCCCTTCCAGCGTCGGCGTCGATCAACGTAGTGTCCTTGGGCAACTCTGCTCTGCAGACCTACGAGTACGGACGGGCAAAAAAACTCAGATACCCTGCCCTGCATCTGTCATGTCATGTCATGTATGTACTATGTTCTTAGAAGTTCTACCTGGTCTGGTGGTACAGTAGTAGACTAGTACTGCAACCAGCAGCATGCCATGCCATGCCATGCCATGCTATGTTATGTTGACACGACACGATATGACATGATACGACACGATTTATTGAAAAGTAAGGCTGCTGAGAGGGGATGCGGTTTAAGTTTCATCTTTCTTTTCACCTCTCACATTCACTTGGCCTTTTATGGGAATTTTGTGGATTTGAGTACCTAGGGTACTCGTATGGGGCGACGCTACCTACCACAGTACTCGAGTACTACAGTAGTATAGTAGTACGGTCCTCTAGAATAGTAGAAATAAACGAGCCCTCCCCCCACCGCCCGCCAGCGTCTCCAACAACAATAATGGAGTCCTACCGTACTCCAAAACATCTACTCGAGTATCTTACCCCACAACCCATTGCGTTTTCTGCGCTGCGCTGCGTACCGGGGAAGGAAAGATAGAAAGAGGGGGGTGGTTGGTGGTGGGATCGTATCTCTCTGACCGCCTTCTCTCACGATGCGATGCGACACGATGGGACACGATGGATGCGATGCACCAGATATCGCGAGCATGATGACGAGGGTTCTCCGTATGTACGGTATAGTATGGTATGTTATATTGATTGATTGAAGGATTGATTGATAGATGTCAGCCGGCAAAAGATACACAAAGAGGATCAAGATACCAAAATTCCGTACTCGTACTGGACACAGTACAATAATGTAAACTCGAGGATACAAAGCAAACCGAGAACCGTTCGTTACCTCACAAAAGTCGTGGTCGTGCGACGTATGTACTGTGGTTATGTGAGCGATATATCATAACATTACACATCATATCATATTCCTGAACACGGACTTAAAATATGTATAGTACTCGAGTATGGCTGATGATAAGCGATCAATAATCGGCGTCTTGAGTCTTGTGATTTCGTGTCGCCGTTGAATCCAACGTTCTGGTTAATAGGTACCTGCCTAATTCCTCTCACGATACAACCCTCGCGATTCTCGGGATACTTCTGTATATGTCGCTTTTTAAGCTACCTGGTACTCGTAACAAGAAAATATCCTCAAAGTGACGGGAGCTAGTTCAGATGAGACACCACCAAGCGAAAGGAAAGCTTGAAGTCGCATCAATTTTGCTACAGATTGATTTGTTGCGAAGCGGCGTAAATTTACTCCTTATTTTCTACATATCTGTCATTATTCTATTTCACGCTCCATGATTCACCCGCCAACATCCATCCATCTATCCATCCATCCATTCTTGGCCACCCACCCAAGCATAAGAACATACTTCGTAAGAATATCCTCATCCATGCCAAGTCCGCTCTCTATGCTCACCTTTCTCCGAGTCGAATCAGTCGATGCGAGGGAATTAGCTGACGGACGCTGACGTAATACACACCATCAAACACATTCAATCAAAAAGGAAATTTCTTAAATTTTCGCTTCGCTTGCTCGCTAGCCGCGAGTCGCGCTGAGATTACTATACTTCCGTCCGAGTAGTCTGTAGAAGATTAGATGAGCACTACACTACACAACACACCCACTTGCCACAGTGCCACTCGCTTCGGATGTTTTGCAGCTCACTAGCACTAGCACTAGTCACTAGTCACCAGTCTCTGAAACCAAACACCCACCCACCCGTGTTTACACGTACATTACCTACCTACAGGCTGAAAACCGGCTTTTTGGTACTGTGCGTAGGTAGAGAGGTGGCTCTTATTACGCGGACGGTGTAGGACAGGCATACACCCGGGTTTTTTCAGGTACCGTATCTGAGATGATCAAGATGGGAGATGAGGGATGAGGGCAAAACGGGTTGGGATGAGGAAGTTTGGGGGTGTTGATGTGGATGTTGAGGAGATGCGGATAGAGAGGAGAGTTCGGCGGGTGTGTTGTACGGTGTTGTCGTGGAGGTATTCATCCGTCCGCTGATCTGAGTACTAGATAGGTACCTACTATTGTATTGCTTTGGCTTTAATTAAGGTAAAGAAAATGGGAAAACTACGAAATAAACTCTAGCCAACTCTTTGGAAGCTGATTAACCTTGATCTTAATTCTTGTAACCTTTTATTATGTGGTTATGGCTTGGTTGTAAGTAGTATAGTAATAGTCGGTATTGTACTAGACATATGCTAGGTATTACATTGGCCCTAACAAAGGTAAAGAAAATGGAAAAAATATGAAATCAACTCCAGCGAACTCTCTGGAAGCTGATTAGCCTCGTTCTCGACGCTTAGAAGCTTTTAATGCGTTGTCGTGGTTTTGTAAATTGGCGGATGATTTCGTGGGTATGAGGAGTACGCACAGTCCGTAACAAGACAATAACGGTGTTACGGCCAAGTAGAAGTGAAAGTAACAGTACCTGTCGTACTTCTACTTCGCAATGCCAGTACTGCCTGCATACGCTGCATACGGACACGGCATTAGATGGTCCTACTCCTACCAGTATTGTATCAATCTGAGTAACCGTCAATTACGCTTAACTCGGCAGACAAGGAAGCCCATCCGCATCAAAGAGTTTCAGACACCGAGTGAGTGAACTCAAGACCCTGAAGGGAAAGAGGAAAGGAGAAGGTGATTCTTGTGCTGTGTTGGGTTGTGTTGTGCGCATTGTTCTGGGAGCTTGTTGCGATGCGGATGCGCTGCATGCGACTTTCCCTTGACTCCTCGAGGTCTTTGCGGGGGAGATTTCTTGTTCGCCGTCAAATCTCCGAATGCGGTCGGTGTTGCAGAATCTTGGACAGTTCTGTCAAGTACGCTGCGGAGTAAATTACCGCAGTCCAAGTAATATTGCGATCGCTATATCTGTCTCTAGACCTCTCTCTGTTCCGTACCTTTGCACCTGTGGGTAGCCCGTTGCAGAAATGATACTGGGCACCGTGCTTTGCTGAGCTGAGCTGAGCTGAGTTGCTTGCGAGTCGGTGTAGGAAATCACTACTCGGCTTCGGCAAGCGGGAGCAAGTGGTCGGTCGTTGCTTTGCAGGTGCGGACAGTTACAAAGTACCAGTGGTAGCGGTTACTGTACAAGTACGAAATGCTCGTAGTGGTTCGTGTTGCAGGTGCTGGTTTAGTGGGGATCAGTGGAAAATGGATTTGGAAGAGAGCGAGCCTGCAAGCCCTAGAGCCTGCAAGCCCTAGAGCCTGCGAGAGGGCTCAGGGCTTAGAGGGACTCGGCTTTGCCTTGGCCAACCCCTGCCCCTGCTTGCACCTGCACACTAACAAGGGGCTACGGTGGCCGACTTCAGCAAGTGTCGCTATTCACTCAGTGATTCATTATTCCCATTCCCATTTTACCGCCGCCAGACTGCACAAGCTTTTTATCCTTCAGCCCACCCCTGAGCCCTTCCACCCTTCCCCAAGACTCCACTCACACCTGCACCCACGCCCACACACAACTCCTGCTCCTACCTGCTGCAATGCACTGCATGCTCCCTCAAAAATCCTGATCTCCCACTCTCACACCCTCTCTTCCCCCTTCCGCTCTCTCCCATTCAACAGATCCAAACGCTCCCATCCAACAGATCCAAACGCCCACCCACCCCCCAACTCCTTCAGCATTCAGCGCCTCTCCCAACGGCCTCTCCAGCTGTCTGACCAACCCTCTTAATCCCCCCTCGTGTCCTCCACACCTTGAAACCTTCCACCTCTCGTACCCCAAGAAATAATTCACCACCTCCACTCCACCACCACTGGACCTCATCCTCCTCTCGCCATCCTGTGGCAAGAATCCCCAAGCCCGCTCGTCGTCTGCAAAAAACAAATTTTACGAGTGGATCCGATACCAGCTGTCTATTTTGTGGGCTACTAGGAGTCCTATCGAACAGAGTTGCGACAACTACGAATCAATACCACAGTCAGCAGGGCTCATCGTTGCCGTTGAACGTCATTCCGGATCCGCTGCCCAAGATCACCAAACAACACGGTGCCCTGCACTGCACCCTCTCAATCCTACACAATCTAAAATAGGACCGACCCCC